ATGATATGTCGCCGGCTACTTAAGCACTCACCCGGGTGATTTTGGAACGCTTACATAATTCTGTTTTCCTTCTGATTTGGGGTTAGTGAGTGTAAAGCAATGGGCTGTGACGAGTTCTTTTTCATCCGTTTCTCCCATTGTGAAAAGTTTGTTTGTTCCAAGCATTTCGTGCTAGAGTATCACATTTGCTCATAAAGTGGCAAAACTTATCCTACTGTGAATCCTGCTGTGAATATAGAGTGCATGGCCATGCGAGTAAAACTGAAGTATTACTTTAAGTGGATAAATATCGGCAACAGCCTTAAAAGGTCATAAAACGTGATTAAATCATCATGAAAGTATTTCCTAGTCCTGGAGGGAAAAATTCTATATAGTGCAAAAACCCTAGCCTCTCGCCCATGAAGCGTCACGCTTACCACTCCACCAAGCCGCCGTTGAGGAGTGAGCTGCTTCCATCTAATTTAAGTCTTCTCATGTAATGTCACCTGAAACCACCCTCATAACTCCGTTCAGAGAATCGCTTGGCAGATTTGGAAAGCGAATTTGAAACTAGCGCCCAAAAACACGTCTAGCAGTATAGGTCTTATTTCAAATGGCCACTTCGAGTTGGGATCTTACCCTGGTAAGAATAAGCTTTAGGAGGAAGTACGGGGTGAGCGAGTGTTCAGCTAGCCTTGCCCACTCCGTACTCCCACTTAAGGCTACAGTTTGCACAGGTAATCATCTCATCCACCTCGGAATCCTGCTATCTTAGAGCTTTAAGGAAAAATAAAAGAGTATTCCTGCTGAAGCCGCATAACAGCTCACAGTTGGTCGGCTCATCCTCCCATTCGTCTCTGACACATTGCTAATAAAGCAAGGTATAACACGTAACACTGAGTTCGTGACTATAGTCTGCTCTGCCCTAGGCTCTATTTTTTAATGGGTTAAATAAGAAAAGCATGGGAACGAAGCTACAAGGCTATCATCACATCAATCTCGTCGCTTCCCTTACGAGTTCATAGGAAGATCCGTTACCGACAACATCGGTGGGGAGTATAACCGCTCCGTCGAACATTTTCACGAATGCTAGCAAAGCATATAGTCAAAAGCCGACAGTCAATAGCCAAGGGACTTCTCCCTTTGGAGACTCTCGAGCTGATACGTCAATAGCGCGAGCTTCTGGCATCTTCAATAAACATCCAAACTCGCGAACCTGTGCAAAGAAGCGGCAAAGGTATAAAAGAAGAGAGTGAAAGAAAGAGGGAACATTAAAAATTCTTGTTGATGCAGGTGATACCGGAAAAAACTCACCGGAACTTTGCTCAATCCGAACTCTTCTGACAGCCAGACTACGGATCACATCTAAAAATGTAGGGGACTCTCAAGCGCGTGTAGCGTGCGCGGCTCTGCTCTGAGATGCTCTGACATGATCCCAAAAGACCGAAACATGCTGTTTGTTTTTTTTTAACCAAAACACGTTCTTAGTCTATTCAACTCCTAGAATCAGGAAGAAAGTTTCACTCCATATGGGGTTCCGAAAATTCCCTTTCACGGCATCGGGGCAACGGCAAAATGGAGTGGAGCAACTACGGTCTTCCAATAGCTGCTGAAGGTGCCTAAAAGAGTGAAGGGCTTAGGAACATAAACTTCTGAGAAACATAAACCTCATTACACTATCAACAAAGCATCAAGGAATAAAAGTTAGATGCCTCAGAACTCAGACTAAATTGTTACCCATGTTCTATTGAAGCAGACCTAGTGAAATAACCTATGCGCTTACCTACCATCTTAGGGAAGACTGATATGTCGTCTTCAATTCCCCTTTCCGAAATGTAAAGAACACTGTGTAAGGAAGGAGACTTAGACAATATCGGCGACTGTACCCAATGCGCCTGCTGTTTGTATTCTGTTAGTTCTTCACAAAAGGTGTCCTCAACAGAACTGCCATGATAATGGATGAAGAAAGGCCACATGAGCAAGCACGGTATCATCAGGATGTAGAATAGATTACATCCGCACTGACACTACTGATTTAAGTATCGCTGAAATACATGATACCGTTGTGTCTTACTTTGATCGATTTGAAGAAGGACCTTGACCCATCCAGGCAAAATAGGTAATGCAAGCTCAGACGAACAGGGTTTTTACTCAATTAAGGAGACATAGGGAAAGAGGAGGAAGAAAAGATGTAAAGATGTTTTGCAGGCTCTGCAACAAATTCTTAATGCTGTTTTCCCGCTCTACAGACAAGGCATTCTGAATTCGAAGAGGGGTTTAAACGAGCGGTACGCCGTCAAAAATTTCGAGGAGCGCTGTTTAGAACTCATGCGCCGTCAGAAATGATAGGGGCAGGGTGTAGCACAAATGATGCGAGTAGCGGCCGAAAGCTACGAACGGCCGCTGCTCACATTATGTGTGCCTTGCAGACGACATTTAGCATGAAACACCGTCATCTAGCAATCGGAACGAATGCTGGCCGAGTTCTACTACGCCTGTGGGATGGGAGGATGGGCTCACGACTAAATATAGTGGAGACGATATTTAAGAGGAACTGTGTGGTTCCTAATGCACCTTTTACGCTGAACGGAAGGTTATCCGGAGTGCTCTAGATACGGGTATCTAGGTAAAGAAGTCAACATGATGAACGATCCAGCTCCCTAGCTGAGCAGAAGGAAACACGCGGCGTGGGAACGTTCGAGAAAATCAGGAGAATAGTGAAGAGGACAAGGAACGTCCGTCTCTGCAACACCTATTCAACATTGCGATCTTCATGCCTTGACTTACGAATCGGCAGTTTAGATCCTACGCAAGCATAGTGCACAACGATAGCATAAGGGTCGTTCAGCCAGCTTCATGCGACGTGCTGTAGAAAAGACAATGCTTAGAGTTTTCCGATAGGCCATTGTGAAGGGCATTCCGGGATTCCGAGCCCAGCCATTGATCGAAAACTTGAAATGCTGTGCACCACAGAATCAAAGAAGAGGCGAGCCGGCCATGCCATTCAGTTTTGTGATGACCTTTTAACCAGGGCCGTTACTGGCTGCATCCCTTGTAGAAAAGAACACGAGGGGTCTGCCAGCGTTATAGTCAGGGTTCTTCACGAAAGATCCGAACGGAAGAAAGGGTACACCCTACTGCCTCTCGAGCGAGCAGGATAGTGCCAAAGGGAAATGAAGACGTTACTGGAGCCTGCCAAAAGGGATCGATCATCAACGGACGACGGCGGGCGGTAAAGATTGGTGTTCGTCAAAGTTCGCAGTAGATCGCATCATTCGCTATGACCACCAAAGCGTCGAGATTTTGATGTTAACAGCAAGGGTATAATGTGTCTATTGAGTCTTTCCTTTTGCGAATCCTTTTAAAATCTTATCAGTTGTCTTCAGTTCTTGGCATCGTTAGATGAGCGTAGAGAATGGTGGTGATTATGTAGATGATGACAGCTCGAGCGAAATGGTCTAATAATTCAAAATATGTACTGAGTGTACTTGAGTTCTGCATCAACCTTATACATTACCCCTTTTTTCTTAAGAGCTTAGTAGCTTAAGTGTGTGATGATACAGGGTCTGAGTGAATCGCAGATAATGATTAGCGGAACGTGAAAAGAGTTGGTAAAGGCTGAAAAAGAGCAGAGGAGTGTTTGTTTGCTAGCCTCATAAGATGTAACCTCTAAGCTTCTATGTATTTATGATAGTAAGATGTGATAAGGGGCATGATTGAATGAAAGCCACGTCTCAAGGTTTGCAACTCAATAAAGGACCACATACTCTTTTCATCTTGAGATCAGTCGTCATGAAACCTGGGCGACCATCAATAATCTGAGAATCTTGGCCAACGATCTGGATACACAAAATTAACAACAACGTTTAAGACTTGGGTTGACCAATCAGGTTGTTAAGCCGTAGAAAAGTCAGTGCGCATTGGTTCCAATCAATTCATAATAATTTTATTGCTATTATTTATTGTTAAGATTGAGGGTACAAGTGAAGTTTCAACAAGGGCAATGGTGTGGGCTTTGTGGTGGTATAGAGGCAAGTGGTGTACTACTACACACGCATGATCATGGGTTTGGACTACTTCCGACCGGATCTATATCCGCTTAAGGCATCCGGCCTTTCCATTCCTCCGAGATTCGTCAATCGGTACCAGGCTCATCTGGGAAGATAAAAGCACTGACTTTTGCATCGGTTGGCCACAGCAACTCATTGTGTAGGCCACATACGCATTCATTAGGTAACAACGATTCTGACGGGAAGTCGAATACTGGGGCGCATCCTTTAGACGGGATTGGCTAGTGATCTTTACCCTTTGTCGTTCATGCGCTCTGTGTCGAATTTGTAATGTTCAAATTACTGGGGTGATTTCTCTCTAAAATCAGAGAAAACATTCGCTGAGAGAAAAACATTCGCTGGGAAACGCGCAGGGGGTCGACCATGTCTTGCGACTTCGAAGTAGGAACGAGGAAAGGTCGACGTAGCCTGGACAATCTGACTCGTCACAATTAAAGACAGGTTGATTGTATATTCAAGTTATAAAAGTACAGGCACAAGAGCGCGTATCCTCAAGGTATTCGAATTGGTTGACTTGGCAGAGAGGCAGTTCTTGATTGTGGTTGATAGCAATTGGTTATCGACAAGGACTGGACGGTTCAAGTGTCCTTTATCTTCGGGTGATTCGTTCCTACCAGAAAAACACTGAAACCTATCGCGATACTGGTTGTTGAAGATAACGTTTTTCTAAAAGCGAGACACATTACACATCAATGGACGGTCGTCCCGCTATCCCTAGCAGTTTCGAAATGGGGAAAAAATTGGTTCCCGATCACTCATCACCAAACAAAAGAATTCATCAAAAACTATCCAAGTTCAATGACAACAACTAGAAAAGCCACGGAATTGGAACCCATNNNAACATTGGCTGGGAATAGTTTTAGAACAATTTAGATATAGTTTCGAAATAAGTGCGTCGAGCGTACATATTTTTTAAGGCGACCAAATGCACGTCGCCTGATCGCACGTTTAATGTATATTACTATTTTCACATCGTCTTTTGACTTCCTGAATGAATTCCTATTCTGTGAAGTATATCTGGAAGGGGGTGAAGTCACATTATTGGTTGCACTTCACGATTGGAGAGACACCACCAGTATGTATTGGCTACCTCTGAATCTGATACTCACAGTTATGCATTGAATTTAGTTCTTCCTCGTCTTATTTGCCGTGTTCTCGTTGCTGGCACGCATGAGTGTTTGGATTAGATACGCATGCATAGCATCAGCAATATGCTACTGCATTTCATTTGGGTGAGTTTATATATTTTTGGTATCTTTATTAATCAACGGCCACCCGTATTGGTACAGCAGAGGATCTGGATGCACCCTCTGATCTGTGTACTTTCAGTATGGTGCTTGGTCCTGTGTCATGGTTTGTCGCACCAGAGCTAGTGCCAGTTAAATACAAATCATTGGTGTTCTCGCTGTGTTTTGGCGCAAACAATGTTTTCATAGCTATCACCGACTTTTTAGCTATCGTACTCTTTCAGGTGAGGTCATTTTCCACTCTTGCAGAAGAGCGCGGTACTTCCGCTTTTGTATTGCATAATCTTCTCGCATCAGTATTTTCTAAACTGCTAGATGTGACTGTGAGTATGAGTCTGAGTATTTTTGGCAACCCGCCATAGGCTCAAATAGAACATGGAGCCTGAGACTTGCTACAAAATTTGCACAACAATCAAGCTAACAGCCCTCAATGGCGTGAACAAGAAGTATGGAATGTGACCGCGATCCCCTGGTGACCTCGTGTGTTGAAGCCACAGCCACGAGGTTGGTGGATTTCATTGGAGTGTACTGGGAAGAGCAGCCATCCATGATATCGTCTATTCAAATTCATGAATCCTATCAAAAGACAAAATGGTAAAGACAAAAATCGAGAAGATGCTGAGTAGCTGTAATTTAGTGCAACTTACAGACATAGCTCACGATAACTTTCGGGTGTCTCTTTTCCTTCAGGTGAAATAATGAAAGCCATGGTACAGAATGCGCAAGGGTGACGATGAGAGATTGTTGATTGTCAAAAAATACATTTTCGAAAAAGGCAAGAAAGGGGTTGTACGAGATGGCCGTCTGGGTGTCTCTCATTTGAGCACACCATATCGTCCTTTGAATAGTGCAGCAATAATAAGGTAGGCATAAAATGACCACTGTGGTTGTCTGCGTTGGCCTAAGTGGTTCTGGAGCCCCCATCACACCTTGGATAGAACGTGTTCCGGTCCGGCGAAGGTCTGTGAACTGTTTTCGGGGACCACAGATTTGTTTTAGCGGGTAATCTCGGAAACCGTTTCATGTTCATGTAGAAAATGGTAGTTCAAGTCAAAATCATCACCAGCATGGTCATCAGACATGAGTAGGCATATAAGCATAGATGTGACACTTTATTTCGGGACAAGGTCACTGTTCGCGGATTTTTTGGCAGGAGAATCGCCTATGTTCTTACCAAAGTTGCATTGCCATACTTTAAATTGCGTTCATACTCGTTTAAACGTCAACTTTTCCTATGACTAGCACACGTTGACGGGAGAACTTCTCTAGAGGTGTTGTTGAAATTTGCACAATCCTTGCTAACACCAGCTCCAAGGGAGAAGTTGTGATATGAGTCAGGTGTAATATGAGTCATTGAATCAAAACTCTCTCCAACGTGTTACAAAAGAAATATTGTGCTGGAAGGTGTCATTGTATTAGTAAGGTAATCTTTGCTCCTGCGACATAAGGTGAGCACCATCCAACAGTGTACGGAAGGTAATAAAGGGCGTTTCATTCATACCTTCTAATACTGCAAAAACATCTCGTTATCGACTGCGAAGAAGATGAGTCCATAACAGGTTTCACGCTCTTCTGCGGTCGTCTGATGATAACAACGACGGACCAATTACATCGCGGGAAGTACCTCGCATTTTTCTAGAGATATAGAATTTCAAAGTGGAATGTAGCTTCTAGCCTTGTGATTTGGCCCATTAGCTTCAAATTATGGTGCAGGTAGAAGAGCCTTCCATAGTTTGAGTGCCAAAAAACCGCGCACGTCCATATGCATATTTATATATCACTACGGATATACGAGAAAGTAAAAACACTTTGAGCTTTCAAATCAGTCGGCAAATTATGATGTATTGTGTGGTTGTAGCTAATAGGTGCAAAACAAGCGAATCGATTTGTCAGCCTTTGGAGATCTGAGAAGTAGGAGCGATAAGTTATCCTAAAATGAATCCTATTGCACAACAGTGATATTTGCTGGATAATGTTGAAAGCCAACATTGAAGGCTCTATAGAAAACAACTTCAAGCCGTAGGTGCATTCAAGATTTTGACTATATTGTCGTGTCCCACCGCATCATCACATTTACATCAAGCAAGCAAAGGTTCTTGACAATAAGTGAATAATTACAGGTGCACATGAATCGAGTTGTTCTTCAGTATTTTTTTCGAATTGTTGTTGGGATGGGAGGGAGGCAGCTCTCACAATGTTAGTGTTGCAAGGGATGAACTCAGTGTTACGTGTTATTTCGTGTTACATCAGGGCCGTGCAAGTTTCCAGTAAGCCATAAGAGGGAAGAAGTGCTTGGCTGGGCGAATTTTCACCTTTTTTCAGCCACGAAGTAATCATATCATCCAGTCCGGTACTTCTAAGCCTTATTTGGTAACACATTTCAAATAATTACTAACGAAAACCATTAAAAGGGCAAAGATGGCCTGTGCTCATACTTCTTCTCATTCTTGATTTATTGCTGGTATAAAAATGATCAACAGATAGCACTGAATTCATTCCTTGATATAATAACATTGAGACGGGTCGTACATTGCACCCATGTCAGCTAATTTGTAACCGAGTTTTGAAAGTTGATACAGAATAGAGAGGTCAGTACTTCCCTCATGGAGGGCAGCTCTGCTCGAATGAGTCATTCGATCGTACCCTGCAGTAAACAGCGGAAGGGGCCGAGGCTTTATGCTAGATGTGGAGGTAGAACGGCATCTTTACTCAGTCAGTGGTGACCAAAAAGTTCATGGGTAACTATTTCCCAGAATCCCAGAATACGAGGGAGCTCTGCAGAGTCAATATTAGACGTAAAAACTTTTCAAGCATTTGATTGGCATTTCCCGAAAAAGCAAAACGAGCGCATGCATCAAGGATTTGAAACTTCATGCTATGACCAACAAGTCCACCATGCCACCAACTGCGCCACCGTCGCACAGCCACGCAATTGCTCGGTTTGGTTGTCTGATCGATAGAGTGGTATAACACCACTGGAAACCAGCGTTTAGCAAGTTTGAAAAGCAGATTTGTGCACAGCGTTCGAAATCCTAGTGTATGTCCGATCTCGAATGGCTACAGCAACCGCTGAAGCGTTGTTTCATCTCCAGTTTGCGCTTTTCCTGATCTTACGGAGTACTTTGCCATCTTCTCATAGACTTTTAAAACTCTTTTGTAGGAATCGTAGCAAAACCGGAACGAAAAAGAGATTCATCAATCGAAGCAACTTTTGAAAACCCTATAATATTAAGTGAGTCGGACTATGCCTTGCTTGACAGGGAGATCGCTCTTCGAAGCTCTGCTCGAAGTCTCTATATCGTCTCCGGTGGAATCTTTGAAAACCCCTTATGGTAAGCAAGCACATAGCGTTTGAAAAAAAATTCAGTTCATTCTCTGAAGGGTTTGAACAAGTATTACAGTATACCGAGTACGAAACTCTCCGACCAGCCTAGAGCAGTTGACAGTTGATGTGCAAATCTAGTTGGTTCTCCTTTAAACTCCACTTAATAGCATTCATTCTATTTATTGAGCTGAATAGCTGAGCTGTTCGGGTTGCTGAGCTGATGAACAACATGGCAACCGAAACATGTTTGCGATTGTAACAAGTAGACCATAAAGAAAACCATTCCTACAAAGACGATCATCGACACATCGTTTCCTATTACTCTAGAATTGTCCTTCATCACCTGTTCCAAAAACTAATTGTTCGTCTTCTGGAAGGGTTTCAGCTGTCATCATAAATTCCATTTGCAAATTATATTCACCTTCTCACGTCCAGAAACGCAGTTCGCGATAAAAATGAACTTCGAGTTGTTGCTATATACATATCTACGGCCCACAGTATTATTTGGCGCTGTCTAATCAAAAAACGGCCAATTTAATGTGTGATCAGCGCTGAAGAATTGTATCTAGTTTACACCACACCCATAAGCAAGAAAGTTTTGAGTTTTATTGAGTTCAGTCTCAAAAAGGCTGCATCACTCACAAGCTTCACATGAAGTTCCAAATTCAAAATCTAGTCGTGAACCGTGATCCAATCACCAATATCCACGCAATTTCGGGCTCTTTCGGCTGAATGTGGCTACCCTTTTACGTCATGCAACACTTGAAATCTCGTCCAAATACTCCTTCCGTGCCATTTCCGTCACGTAAGGTCGTAAACCGCTTTTTTTACTATTTGTTTTTCTTCAAAATCCACCAATGGCCTCGTTGGTCCTTGGAGGATCTCCTGCCTGACTGCCATTAAGTTCCTTATATATGAGCTTGTTACTGAGATGGCCTGCAGGATAATTCCACCACACACGCAAAGATTACCACACGACATCCTTATGCCGGAAGGAGCCATACGGTATAAGTTGATTCAGTTCAACAAAGCCACTGACTAATTTGATCCCTCGAGTGCTTACGTTCATCTAGGCGAGTACAAAATGGCTTCTGGTCTACAACTAACTACGCACCATTGTCATCCCACATGACGTGACCACCAATGCAATGATTTTTTATTGAGAGAGAATCCATAAAAAAAAGAAGTTCGTGGCAGCAAAGAAAGCCCAGAAAATGGGAAAGTTTGGAACCAGAAGCAGGAAACTTTCAAGATCTTTTTTATACTTGTGATTTCTTCATGACAAATGTCTACATGAAATTGCTAGTCTCATGGCTAAATGGAAATTGATTTAATTTAGAGCGATATAAACAGCGATTTATATGTAGACTGACGGTATGTGTTTTTAGAAGTATGGCGCCATCGTCTTCATTCCACTCTTTACCATACCATCATGTGCCTGTCTTGTGTACATTTACCTATATCTTCCGGAAACCATGGGCAAAGAAATCGAAGAAATTATCAGGGAAATGTTTGTCATGGCAAAAAAGTCGCCGATGACAGAAGGAAATTCTCAACGGGTACGGCCAAATAGTGACGTCTTTGCAACACAATCTTCTTCGATCGTTTCGCCCTGATCAGTCCAAGTGAGAAGAAACAAACACATCTGGTATCTCACTGATTCCGACGGAGCTTGCTTCATAGTGTCTCATGTAACAAACATATGCAGGCATGTGTAACAAGTTCATGATTTTGTATAGTTCGCAGAGAAAATGTATCGAGACGAATTGCCTTTGTAAGAATCACAATAGTATTTATTCTCTTAATAAATTTATGGAATTTTGATGTGCCAGAAAAGCTTTTGTACAGTAGGTTTCTTATTTTGAGATGCTTTTCTATTTTTTCTGATAGTATTCCATAGCGTTGTGAATTCAAAAATTAGCGTTAGTACTTCGCCACCACACATTACTATTGCGCTCACATAGAAAAGCCGCAACTCGGATTTCGAAAACTGAAAGAGAAGTAATTCGTTTGAGCTCTCTTCTGACCTCAGTTGCTGTTAGGCAATATGATTGGTCATCTCCGACTGTGCTCAGAAATACTCGGCAATTCCATGAGAGCGAGCAGATCGCATATTTAAGAATTGTGCTACAGTACTGTTCGAAACAGAATCACCATGGACGTATTTCGTCATAACACATTTCGAATTGGGTGATTTCTCGATGTGTCAATAACAGTGTAATACTCAATTTTTCCATAACAAAACTGACGGAAATCATTCCTATTAAGCTTAGACGATCACATTTCACATTTTTGAACAGAAAAAAACATCCGTTTTACCAGTTAAAAAAGAAGTAGAACCCTATCGTCAGGAGTTAAAAACTCAATTGACTGCCACTCTAATACTTCGTATAGAAGCCACGGACATCAATGACTGCTTCGCATAGAGGGGCGTTGATTCTGTCAACTTTTCAATCACGCACTGGTCAATTTGCTTCCATTTTCCTCTCGGCTGGGCGAATCTCTGAGCATTTGTTGTGACTTTCTCACCGACTATCTATCTTTCTAAGGCTCTTGCCACTGCGGTTCCATGATGTTCGAATCACGGAACTGGTTGGACGAGAGGCATCGGATTTCCGACTGGTCGGCAACATGCAATCGTTCTGCACCCATGTTTGGCTGTATTCATTAAAAGAAGGGGTTTTCCGTGAAGAATTAGACGAGAAGCAAAGCGTACCATGCACTTTTCCAGGATGCCTATTTACATTCGGTGGTCCATAATGGTGGGAATAATTTGCAGGGGTCTATGCAAAAAAAACCTCTGCACTGACATCATGTTTGACAGCAGCCAATAGGTACTTGCGGTCTAACCTCATATTAGTGAAGCATTGGCCTGCACACGATAACGTGCGCGTCTCATGGCTTCTGATAAACGAATTCCCTTGAGAAAAACTTGAAGCGTAACCGTTTTAGCGACATCGCGTACCGCCCTCTCCTGAAAAGAATGTACACAAACCGTCAGAACCCAACTAATAGCGTCATAATCCGTCTGTCGAGAGCGCATATTTCTAGAAAAGTGCACATGACGACCATCTGCATATGCGCATCCATATATTAATCAAGCCATTCGAAAAATTAGGGCAGGGAAATTGACTTTCTTGTTCCCCTTCCAGTACTTCATGTCATGTATTCGCACACGTCAAAGTAAGCATTTGGTAGCATACCAATCGACGATCTCGTTGGTCATTATGTTGTTTAATGAAATCTCACTCAAAAATTGTGATAAGCATGTAAGCGGAGAGGTCCTTCTACACTACTCTTTGATTTTAAAGACACAAGTTTCTGCGCTGTTGCGGCAAGAAGGCGAGAACCTTTTTCCTGGCTCAACAATAGAGCTCTCTACACACAGTTACATGAACTTTGTTAAAAAAAAATAGTTGGATAGACAAACTCGTGCCGGGCTGTCTTCCTTCATATGTTGAATTTGAATGCCTCGCTAAGACTATCATTAGTCCTCCCTTACCTACCCGAAAAAAATGAGTAGTTGGCAGCATCCCAACATCGAGTAGTACAAAACTACCCTGTTCAGTACCGGTTCCTATTACCGACTGTTACGTTTACAGCTTCAAACCTACCACATCCCCGCAACTAATCTAGAGTTGGAACACTGTACGACCATGGAAACATAATTGCGACTGAGCGGTACGCAACAGATCATATCGGCGTATCGACCAATATCCCCCGGCATACCCCATCCCGGATCAGTGTATCTTTACCACACATAAAGGCTACCCGTGTGAAGGGGGCCCAGCTGTGAATTAACGCTACATTATCTAAAAAGCTCTCGGACAATATCGTCAACTTTGTATTGTCCACTTTCCCTTGGCCCCTCTCCGGATTTCAATCCTGCCCCTCGTCATAAGTCTTTCCGTACTGTCGATCGCATCTATACCGAATTTGAAAGCCTCAGGTCCCCAAGTCCAGATTAACAATTTCGCGCGAGCCCTGCCTTCCAGTGGGCGGAGTATACACATGCCGCCTGCCCCAAGTTTTCCTATCGTGCCACCTAACCCTAAACCAAATCAAACGCCCCAGGTCCAAAATGACGATTTCCGCGCAACACCCGCCTACAGTGGGCGGAGTTTACGTGTGCTATCTGACATCGAACACTCTAGCCCCAGGTGAACAGGAGTCAGCCCCAGGTGAACAGGAGTACCGGCAAACCACGCTTTGGGCATGTCCCGCCCCTAGCGGGCGGAGCACAGCTTGAGTCATGTCCTCAAGTAGCTCGGCTCATTCCACACTTGTTCCAACCTGGCCTGGCTGTTCCAGTTCGATTTGCAGGAGGCGGATGATAAAGTGGCGTAAACCGACAGAACGACAAACAGACAAATAAAGAGACGTATATTTGTGGTTTATATATAGTCAGGATCGCCTTACGAACGAAATCTGATTCGTCAAACAAAACAACCAGGGGCTTGTCTCCGAAGGGGCTTGGGCGCGACGCGACTGCGTCGACCGACCGTCTGCCTCCCTCGCTCACATTCAGAATCGTACGGGCAAGTTCTGCTCCTTGGTCAATCTTGGCTTCAGTGTGTATCCGCGTAACAAGGTTCTGGTATAAGCTAATGTGGTTTTTCTTTAACGTAAATTTTGTGTGATCTCAGATGATGACGTATATCACTTGAATTTACGAGCTGGGTTAAGATTCAGAACAACGAAGTGGATCGCGGGGCCTATGAAATTTGAACAGACGGGCAACCGACTTGAACTTTTCCCTAGCAAGGAATCAATCCGCACTTGTTATCTCAGTCACGTCTTTTCTGAAACACTTCACGGTCCTGTTGCCTCTTTTTTCAGAAATCTGACTCCTTTCTCGAAGCCACTTCATGTGAGTTGTGTTGAGGTGTTCAGTTCACGAAAACCACTTCATGACGTGTTGAGGTGTTCAGTTCACGAAAACGTGCGAGGATTCACGAAAACGGACGCATCAGCTCGTGAGTTTTGGCTAATGTTCTATAAGTGTTCCATTTCTCCTTTAGCAGAAACCTAAGCTGTTGCGATGGTTCAGTAAATAACTTTGAAATTCTGATGAGAAACAAAAGCTTTAAAAAAAGCGACGAGCTTTTTGGATGAACCATTAATCAGATGTTCAAGAGAGGTCAAGACAATGTTGATGGCTTATTAACAGTCGATCTCTTGCAATCGAAGAAAAATATCAATTTCATTGCTGGTCTGGCTAATTATCCTCGACTCAAATAGCAAGTCTCGTAAAAACCTATTCGCAATACTTAGCGGAATGTTTAAGGTTGAGGCAAAACCACCAACTCCTGTTCTACCGATTTTATCATTTGCGATGGAAACTTTCACAATAGATATCTTAATAGAAGGTGTTCAGAGAAATAGAAATGGCACGCACTTATTGACGTGAAAATTTTTGAGGAATGAATCGAATGATGCCGAGCCGATGCACATATAAATGGTACTTTGCAAGGGACGCTAAAAATAAAAAGTCGTGGGAAGTAAATTTTGCATGTTCGAGTAGGTTTCATGTCACGTTTGTTTGACTTACCATGTTTGTCATATCTCACATGTTTATTGCATGTCCTTTGGTGAAATAATGAATGGTATAAGACTGACCAGTACTGTGTAACAATGTTGAGGTGTTCGCAGAGTTTCCACCTTTCCTGAACACCGTGGGTTTATCGACTGTTGTACAGAAGATCAAGGACCTAATCTCAAAAAGTTATATATTTTGGATTCTGTTGACATTCCTCGAAGTCTTCCCGTATAGGGCTCAAGTAAAAGATGTGGACCATGGCGTGCATCGCGATCAAGAGTTGTAACGTTGAAGAAGACAGTATTTGAGGGGACTGTACAGTGCGTGAATGGTTTGCGGCATTCGAAAAGGGTGAGTTCACTCTCGAAGAACGGCTCCGCTTAAAGAGGCTATCAAAAGTTGAAAACGCCCAAATCGAAATGTCAGTTGAAAAGATTCGGCACATCACCACTCGTGAAATAGGGGAAGGACCTGATGTCTCGAAATCGATCCACCGTGATCATTTGCAGAAACTTGGTTTTCTTGAGCGCCTTGATGTTTGAGTACCTTATGAATTGTGCGGGTGCAATGTGATGGGCCGCGTCTCCGTGTCAGACTCGAACGAAACAAAGTTGGACTGCTTCTGAAACGAATGAAAACGGGGGACTAAAAGTGGGTTATGCACAACAACGTGGAGAGGAGAAGATCCTGAAGCCTTCCCAGGGAGCCGCCACAAACCACTCTAAAAGTCAAGTTCGATGTGCGAAAGATTACGCTCTGTTGCCGGCGTGATTGAAAACTGAATAATTCATTATGAGCAGTTGTCGCATAACCAAAAGACAAATTCGGAGAGATACTGTACTCAGCCAGATAATTTGAAGGCAGCGATAGACCAGAAGCGCTTCATCGCGTGTTCATCGTGTTTGCAACTGCTTCGTTTTTATTAAAGTTGCCTCTCGAAACGGTTCACTTGTCCGTTTGAGTTGCGGTTTATCAAAATTCTTTTACTGTGTTTTCTAGTGCACAGGAGCCGTTAACTTTTTTATATGAAAGCATGCCTCCCAGTATGTATCCATCTGATCTTCATTTATTCGATGC